CAACAGCACAGCACAAAAGGTTAAACATAACTTTGATCCCTGAGGCATTTTGAGGAGACATGGAGACCACAATTCCCAGTAAGGACTTTCAGTTTCTTTTAAACTATGTGCACCAATGGTGACACACAGTATATACACATGCTAACAGCCAATTATTCGAAAAATTTTCCTCTGAACTAACATCCATAATTAATGCCCAGACTACATCAGAAATTAGTGACTTAACCTGCCAATTTAATGTGGTATTAGTTGGTATTATATGTACATTGGAGAGGTCACCACACTTATTTTTATCTAACCAGACACAATGATAGTCAAATCCATATACGATAATTGCACATTAATTTGCCCTTACATCCCCAGATGAGATTCATTTGCATTTAAAAAGATTAGTTGTTTGCAGACCTTTGCCAGCTTTAGTTGGACCATAGCTGGACTATAGTGAAATGCATTCCAGTAATGATTGTGTAGTGGAAGCAACCACTTATAATCTTCTATTCGTTTTAAGTTATTTACAGATAAATAGAACCGTACATTTAAAACAGACTTATAGACAACTGATGTCATTTTGTCAGAAATGTGGGCCTGTATTGTTTTCTGATGTCATTCCAGCAGGATCGCACACTTCATCACTGATTACTGTGGCTGCAAACAACTTTACCACCCACTCAGCCAACGCACTCTGGTGCAGGAAATTGATGGTGTCGACCATTCTGCTACAGTTTCACAAAGTCATTAGTTCCGTAGCAGCATGTCTGCTGGGCCTCTAGCTAAGGTTTTCAGTTTTTACTTTGACAGCACACACCCTCACATCATTACCTCAAAAGGGATTGGAGTGAGCATGTAGATATTCATAGATTTGTCATTCTACTTGTGTCAGAATACCAACGTTCATTGTAGAATATGGTAAATCACTCCTCATACATTTATTTATAGCTCCCATCACGCTAGTCAGATGATGCTTGTGTTTTCATAAATTAATGAATTAATGAGTAAAAATGAGATATGTGCTGCTTTTAATCAGCTGTGGCTTAAAATACGGTGTGGCCACATAACTAATTCAAAGATAGTAATAATGAGAGAAACGTGTAGAAAAGCATGAATATGTACCACCTTTTTTTTAAATGTTGAAGTATTGCCCAGCATTATGATGTCCAACTCTTACTGGACATGTTGGATAACCACTGTGCAAGAAGTGGTTATTGAGCAGGTAAGCTATTTGAATGATGTCAACTGTGTGATGCAGAAGTGGTGCTAAGCAAAGATCACTGTATGTGATGTTTGATGTCATAGTTTTTTAGAAGATGAGTTTCCATTCTGTAATCCCACTGTCAGTGGGTTTTGGTAAAACTAAAAGCCAAATATTCAGCCTGATTCTCCATCCCAAAGTAACTCTGGCCACTACCCAAAGGAAAGGCGATGAGACTGTCTGTTTCAGAGCTGCAATGGGTCGCCCTACTTCTAAGATCACTGTAAGCGCAATGTGCTGTGCCTTCTTGTTTACTGCCCTGTAACAAAAGATGTTATGTTCGACACAAAAAAAATGTTTTATACAAACAAGGGATATTTTAACCTGAAAAGTTGTAATGCTCTTTTTTTATATATATTTTCTTTAAAGTTTATTTAATGCTTTTCCTTACATCAGAGGGGACCCAAATCAGGCCGACATGATGACCATTCTTATAAGATGAAGTCTGTCCATGATGGCTCTTTGATTGCATTTTGATTGCAGTAGTTTTGCACAAATGCAACTCCCTTCAAACAGCTGAAAGAGGACTTGGTGACTCATTCCGAAAAGTGAAAAATGGTAGCCAACCTTTGTAGGAAATACAGGACTGACTGTCAGAAACCCAAGTTAGGCCTCAATCACTGAAAATAACCTGTTCAGTCCGGTATACTTATGAGATTCAACTTTGTTTAGTTTAAATGGATAAAGTTCATAATATCATGAAATAATATATATATTCACATGGCAACAGGGCACAAACAGTCATAAAAGATCTATATAGACACATTAGATACATACATATAGATACATTTCTTTTCATTAATTTTGGCCTCTTGAAATTGTTTCCACATGAACTTGATGCTCTGTCACCATTTAAAAAGGCTTGAGGCTTTATAGCCTTAATTATTATAAGGAAAAGTGTATTTCACTGGAGTGCTTTTCATACAACTTATGTCACACCCAAGAGCTTCATACTTAAAGGCCTTTTACTGCGTTAGACAGGCCTGTAATCAACCTGGACAGACATGCAGATCATAAGCCTCCTTGGTGGATAATGACAGTCATTCATCTTTAGTGGCTATAGATGTCTGGAAAGTCACAATCTTAGATAGAAAACCTAATTGGTACCCAATCAAACAGCAATTACCACCTGCTCAAAACAAAGCAGCACCTTGATGTACTCCAAGTCGATTATTCACGCGTGTACAACCAGGGAAAGAATGGTTTGGATGTGCAGTCTGCCCTTTATATGGCTGTACACTAACCAGCATAAACCAAATGCCTGTTAAGAATCTCAAGGACACTGTCCATGTGTGTTTGTGTCTATTCAGCATAAAGTCTATGTAAGCAGAGTGCAAATATGTGTTGATTTCTGTTGACTCCAGAGACACACTCCGGAGACACACTCAAATAATTTTCTCCTGTCCCAAAAGCGAAATCTGTGTTAACAGTGGAAGGGCACTGTTAAACACTGAAAGAAAATGGTATACTGCGGTAAGATGTGAATCTTGGGATTTTATTTTGTGTGTCTTCAAGCTGTAATTTGTGCCTCCTCAAATGCATGAAGCAAATCTCACATTGCACTCATTTTGATTTTGAGTTGGAAGCGAGCCGTTGTTTCTGGGCAAAGAAATTAGTGTTTCAAGATTCTTCCCAACAACCAAAGTTCTACATAATTAGGGTCAATGAGGTCTGTCACTACACTGGGTCAGAGCATGAAAATGCCAGACCGGAGGAGATTATATGTGATAATCAATGTAATAATGGCTTTTGCCAATGCAGGCAAGCTAAGAAAGACATATTTAGGTGCCACTTCTGATTTACACTGAAGCTCTGATGGAGGACGTCTGTTACCAGTTCAAATCGCTGAATGTCTCCAACCACGTTCTGTGGAAGAGAAAATGCACAGAGCAGTTTCTGTGAATGTTATTAAAACTGACTTTGTGTAGCAGCCCACCCTAAGCAGGTGGCTGGGTCAAAAGTTGTACATTCCACTTTCTCTTGCTCACAGGATTTAACAAGTAACTTTACATTGGAGCACCCATATTTAGATGTTTTCAACATATTAAGTGCTTTTTGAATAAAACTATTAATTCTTAACCACTCAAGAAAAGCTGGTTGTATCTCATTGAGCGCATAAATGACAAAACTATCATATATTTAGCTTTTTTTAAAGTACGTTACATCACCCCATAATCATCACATAGATGCAATAAGATTGTGTAATAATCATAAATGCAATTTGCTCAAAGATGTCTGCTCCTTGTTTTTTTTTATTGAGGCAGATTCTTTTAAATGATCTCCAACATTCATCCTTCTGACTAATTTGAGACATTCAGTTACTGCAGTAAACACTGTTCAGTTCTAAATAGTGAAGTGCAAGATTCCCAGGACATGAACCTCAAAAGTAAAAGTAAGTATCGGTAGATGGAAGTGTGAATCTGTGTCCACAGCGGTGAATAGTTAATTAAACGAGGTCTCACATTTTTTACTAAATCTGCAATTTGGCAAAATCTCAAATTCCCCAAAATCATTGGTCAAATCATCAAGTTCACTGTCACCTAGGTTCACCACCACAATTCTCATCTAATGCTTCTCTCTCTTATGCTTCATTTGCAGCAAGAAGAACTGTGTCAGAATGGAAAATAACTACTTACGGTCTGCTTCCATCAATCTGATAATAGCAGTTCAAACTAAGATGGTGTACATCAGTCAAACTGTACATGCACAGGTCACTTTCACTGCCCTGGCTGACTTAGTACATTACATCTGAAAGTAAAAAACGAGTACAAATCTTAATTGGGGTTGAATTGTGGTTTCCAAAGTATCTCATCAGGCTTGTATAATTTAAAAAAAAACTGAGGCCGCTCTGAGATTAACTGGAAGCAGCAAGGAGATGGGTACATGGATGTAAATGGACAAAATGGGACCGTGAAATGCATTAGACTTCAAACCAACTCAATTAATTAGAATACATTTCACGCATACATTTTAATGTAATGCAGGTACATTACCCTGCATTACATATAAAATAACAGCTGAATCAGTCCTCCAGCTCATCATTGTAATTTTCCCTAATTTTGGGGAGTGGCTAAGAAAGCAGATCCCATTTGCAATTTAAAAAGTATGTGCTTGTAATGTGCCCAAAGTGCTTGTAGAATCCTATGGTACATATTATTCTCAACTATGGTACCTGTTTAGGGGGAGAAAAACAAATGCGGCCATTTGTTGTATACTTCAGAAGAAATTTTGGAAGAGCATATCATTGTAGTAACTACCAGAGATTTCTACATTTAAAATATCTCCCTGTATAATTAATTAATACCACAGCTTCCAAAATGCACTTCAAAGAGGTTTAGCCAAAACTGATTATTGAAAACTTCCTGAAAGCAAGAATGATTGCAAACTTAGGACTTAAATTAGCACAAACCTCCTCAATTTATAAGAAAATTGATTTTTTTTTTTACTACTTTAATGGCAGATATAATTAATCTGGATGGGAATTTTTAATTAAGGCAAACAGGTAAGGTTGTGTTCACCACACTGTCACGTCCATGACTACCAGTCGACTATTTAACATGTCCATGTTAATTCACTAATTTTCTCGTAAGAGAACATTTTTAATTATCTTTTTCCAATTTCAAGGCTTTGCAAAAAAATCTATTTCATAAACTTTCTAATTTCTCATTAATGCTAATTAATTCATTATTGATTAGACAGCTAATGCTGTCTTGAAATCAAGTTTTGCAATTTGTTTTTTTCCTTCTTTCAGATGGTAATCAGGTAACCAACCACTTTCTAATTTTTGTGCAAACAAAAGCTACATGGGTTAAAAAGTACATGGGCCAAGGTACAAATAATTGCATCTCTGTCTTGGAGGGAGAGTCAAGTTGCATTTCGGGAGGTAAGCAACAAGAAATCCAAAGAGCTCATTTTGCATTCAGTCAGAAAAGTTATAAAAAGATAATTATTTGGATCTGAGTCCACTGACTGCTTATATTCAGAGGTCTTTGTAAAGACTGATCAGAAAACAACTGCACAGATTAATAAAAAAAAACTAAGCTAACAACACACAAAGGCAACAATATATCCACATGTACATATATAACGTTCCCATAACAGTGTTTAAGTCTAGATGACACAGTTTGAAAGGCCTAAAATTGTATTCTTTGGCTTCCGGTTGAGTGAATGGCGTGGTAGGACGTGTCTGGCTGAGCTCCCGCAACAGCTAGAATTAATTACTATTTTAGGCACATTTTTGATAGTTCTCTATCGTTTTTTCAGTGTGATTCTTTTTCCCGTTACTATAAGCCGTCTAGTATTTCGGCATTTTTCTCGTTTGATATGCCTCCTAAAGTCAAATCGTCTACACAGCAACAGAGACCTGCTTCTCATGCTACATCCCCGCCTCGTGGTGACTCTCCCTCCAGCCCGGATGATTTCGCTGGAGGCACTTCTTCCTCGGCCTTTAAGACCGAGCTGCTATCGGCACTCCGGGTTGAAATGGCACTTATTTTCAAAACCGAACTCCAAGCAGCTCTTATTGAAAACTTGTCGAGTATAAAGGCTGAGCTTCTGGCTGTGAAGTCGGAATTAACTAGCAACATTACAACCATTCAACTGGATGTACGCGCCCTGAAAGACACCGTGGGCGAATTGGAGACATCATGCTCTACATGCACCGACGACATCACTACGCTACAGGCTAAGGTGGAGCAGCTGTCTGCGGACGTGAAAAGACTAGACAATAAATGTGATGACCTGGAGGCCAGATCTCGCCGCAACAACTTGATAGGAATTCCAGAGGATTTTTCCATCTCATCTACAGCCATTTCAAATTTGCTTAAGGAGGCTTTTAAATTGGAGAAGGAGCCCTTGGTGGACCGTGCCCATCGTACTCTCCAACCGAAACCTGGAGAGAGACCTCGTCCTATTGTTATTCGTCTGCACTATCATTCGGACTGTGTGGACATATTGGGTCGAGCTAGGTCCCAGCAGCGGATCATGTCTGGAGATACACGCTTCTCCGTTTTCCCTGACCACACGCCGAGGACGGCCCAGGCCCGCGCCTCCTTCAATGATGTCCGCCGTCAGCTTCGAATGATCCCGGGGATCCGATTCGGACTGTTTTACCCAAATCGACTCCGGGTTACACATAATGGTAAGGAGACTGTATTTAATTCACCAGAAGAGGCCGGGGCTTTCATCAGGTCTCTCAAGACACGTGAGAACATTGCAGAAGCACATAACTCTGAATAACCTGTTACCTTTACCGACTGTTATTACTCTTTTTGCTTTACTGAGGTTATGCTTTCTTTTTGTCATTAACATTTTCTAGTTCGTTGTTTTATGCACTCAACCAGATGTGCCATGGTGTTTAATGTCGCTAAGTTTGCGGGAGCTCAAGCTCAAACAGTAGCTTTTCTGTTTCTACGTTGCTAAAAACCGTAAGCATCCATTCTAGGGATCTGACTCCTTGTGGAGTCTGCACTGGGTTCTCCATCGTTTGGGGATGGGGTCGTTGTAAGTGCAGCGGGGAGGGAGGTGGTGGGCGGGTGGTTGTTCACTTCGTTAGGATTGTTGTTTTTCCCACCGTAATTTTTATTTATTCATTTTTTTTCCTTTTTTTTTTTGGCTCCCCATTTTTTTTTTTTTTTTTATTATTATTTTTTTTTATTATTTATTTATTTATTTATTTATTCTTCCTTTCTGGTGGTATTCAGTTTTCTTGTTTCTTCTTCTACAATAGACCCAAAACATGTCTACTAATGACAATACTGTGAATGGCCCACAAATAGGCTCTTCTGTGAGACTCTTGAGCTGGAATATTAAAGGTACAGTATGGGCAGCCCAGTTAAGAGATCAAGGATTTTTGCACACTTGAAACGTCTTAAACCTGACCTAGTGTTTTTACAGGAAACCCATATGCGCACTAAAGATCAGGTCAGGCTAAAATGTCCTTGGGTTTCTGAGGTATTTCATTCACATTTCAATTCTAAAGCCAGGGGGGTTGCCATCCTAGTTGGTAAATCAATTCAATTTTCAGTTTCTAAAATTATATCAGATAAAAATGGCAGATACTTAATTGTCGCTGGTACTTTATTTCATGTCCCAATTCTCCTAGTGAATATTTATGCCCCTAACTTTGATGATCCAAATTTTATGAATAAGCTATTTGAATGTCTTCCCTCTTTAGATAATAATCTCCTTATAGTAGGCGGAGATATGAATTGTGTCATCGATCCCAGGTTGGATCGCTCTGACCCGCGCAGTTTGGTCCCCTCATTAATGTCTAGATCACTCTCTGACTTCATGTCAAAAAATGGTTGCACTGATCCCTGGAGATTTTACAATCCCCAAGACAAGAAATTTTCCTTCTTTTCCCACTTGCATCAATCTTTCTCTCGTATAGACTACTTTTTTCTCGACACCAAGCTAATTCCAAATGTTCTATCTGTTAATTATCACCCTATTGTCATCTCTGATCATGCCCCTCTTACATTAGATCTTAAGTTTGCTTGTCAACATCGCTATATCACACCTTGGAGATTTAATCCTCTACTTCTTTCAGATGAAAAGTTTAACACATTTATCGCAGCCCAAATTGATGATTTTGTTGCAATAAATCAGAATGACAGCGATCCAATTTCATATTCTTTACTTTGGGAATCATTAAAAGCATTCTTACGAGGACAAATTATCTCATACTCTGCTCATTTGAATAAGACGCGCAAGGCAAAACTATTAGAACTTAGCGCTGATATTACTATTCTGGATCAGCAAATTGCTGTTTCTCCTTCACCAACTTTACTTAAACAGCGGGTAGATCTACAGACTGAATATGATCTTATCACCACCAACGATGCAGAGCGACTCTTCTACGATCTCGCTCCATTTATTATGAACATGGTGATAAGTCTAGCCGACTTCTCGCTCATCAGCTTCGTCGTCGGGCAGCTTCGCATATGATTCCCCAGATAATGGACTCGTCAGGTACTTTGCATCACGATCCCACTACTATTAATTCGGTTTTTCAGTCATTTTACTCCTTGTTATTTAAATCTGAATCCCCATCTGATTCCACTGAAATTATTCAGTTTCTTGACACTCTCGAGTTCCCTGTGATAAACCCAAAGGTTGCTAAGGAACTTGATTCCCCTTTAACCATAGAGGAGATTGTGGCTGCCATGAAAAGCATGCAAAGCAACAAAGCTCCCGGTCCAGATGGATTTCCTATTGAATTTTTTAAAAAATTTCAGGACAAGCTATCCCCAATATTACATGCAGTATATAAGGAGTCATTTCATCAGGGCAGTCTCCCCGATACTTTAACTCAAGCCTCGATTAGTCTCCTCCTGAAGAAAGATAAGGATCCAAATCTTTGTAGCTCATACAGACCTCTCTCCTTAATAAATGTTGATGCTAAGATTCTTGCTAAAGTTTTGGCACGTCGCCTAGAAAGTGTAGTACCTACTATTGTCCCACATGAGCAAACTGGATTTGTTAAGGGAAGGCAATTATTTTTCAATATCCGTACACTCTTGAATATTATTTACTCTAAGACCACCACTGACATTCCTGAGGTCGTGATCTCTGTTGACGCTGAGAAAGCGTTTGACAGAGTTGAATGGGATTACTTATTTGCAGTTTTAAGAAAGTTTGGACTGGGTGATGCATTCATTTCTTGGATACATCTCTTTTACATTTCTCCTCATGCTAGTGTCTCCTCCAATGGCATTCAATCCAGTTTTTTTAAACTTTTCCGCGGCACTAGACAGGGATGCCCGTTATCTCCCCTACTGTTTGCACTGGCTATCGAGCCTTTGTCAATCTTCCTTAGGTCCTCCAATACTTTTACTGGAATTTCCCGATCAGGCACAGAATTCAAACTATCGCTTTATGCTGACGATTTATTGCTTTATGTCTCAAATCCCACTCTTTCCATACCGTCAATCCTGTCTGCTTTTCAGAGATTGGGATCTTTTTCTGGTTACAGAGTAAATATCGCTAAAAGTGAATGCTATCCTATCAATGCTCTTGCTTTAAAGCTTTCACACTCGGACATTCCGTTTAAGTTTAGCTTTTCTGGCTTCAAGTATCTGGGCATCAATGTAACAAGATCATTAAGCTCTCTTTACACTGCTAATTTTCTGCCTTTAATTTCTAAAATCAAATTGGACCTCCAAAGATGGATTAGTTTACCACTCTCACTTATAGGTAGAATCAATGCAATTAAAATGAATGTTTTACCAAAATTCCTTTTTTTGTTCAATTGTCTCCCACTCTTTCTCCCAAAGCATTTTTTTAAGATGCTTGATCAAGTTATTACTGGCTTTCTATGGCGTGGAAAACAACCTAGAATCCGCAAATCCACACTTCATAGATGCAAATTTGATGGCGGATTGTCACTTCCAAATTTCCAGCTGTATTATTGGGCAGCTCACATCCATAAAATTTAATTTTGGTTTCGATCTGTGGACCTGCCATGGTGCAACTTGGAGGCCCAATCGTGCTCCCCATCCTCACTAATTGCTCTTCTTACTTCCCCTATTACATCCAATCCCTCTGGTTTTATAAATAATCCAGTAGTTCGATCTGTTTTAAAAATTTGGTGCCAGTTTAGAAAGCACTTCAAATTTAACTCTGCATCTTCACTTGCCCCTTTAATGAAGAATCACTTGTTTCAACCAGCACTCACTGATTCAACCTTTTCATTCTGGAATAATAAAGGGCTGACATGTTTTAACAATTTTTACAAGGAAGGTATCTTTCGCACCTTCACAGACCTCTCATCAGAATTTCAACTCCCTTCATCTCATCTATTCCGGTACTTTCAAGTTAGACATTGCGCCAAAGCTTTATTTCCCAATTTTCCTTCCAGGCCACTGAACTTTCACTGGGAGATGTTTTTGAGCTGGGATCCTCTTCAGAGGTCATATATATCTAAAGTTTACAATTAAATTCCGTCTTTTGATTCTTCGTCCATTACCAAGGTCAAGGCGGCCTGGGAGCTCTAACTGGGTCTAAATTTGGGAGAGGACTGGTGGAATAATGCTCTTAAGAAAATTCACACAAGTTCAATCTGTGCTCGACTTTCTCTCATACAGTTTAAAGTTCTCTTTAGGGTTCATCTCTCCAAAACTCGTCTGTCCCAATTCCTTCCCTCGGTGTCTGACAATTGTGTCAAATGTCATGCTCCTTCCTGTAATTTATCTCATATGTTTTATTCCTGTCCATCACTCCATAGTTTTTGGCTAATCTACTTTGATACAATGTCTAAAATACTCTCAGTAGTCATCAAACCTTCTCCCCATGTTGCTATATTTGGGCTTCCAGGTGACTACAAACAGTTCACTTCTAACCAGTTGGATATTTTAGCATTTACTTCCTTACTGGCAAGGCGGCGTCTTCTTTTTCATTGGAAGTTAACAGTTCCCCCTTCTAGCGGCCAGTGGCTTAAAGACACCATGTCTTTTCTAAAATTGGAAAAGATAAGATATTCATTGAAAGGCAACTCTGCTAAATTCTATAACTTATGGCGCCCTTTCATGACATTCTTTCATTCTCTTCAGTCCCCTCTCCCAGATTAGGTGATGCACCTTGCCCCCACACCCACCCTTAACTTTAATTT